CCATTGATCCAAGCAAGTGCAAAACAATTATAGACAAAGCTTCTCCATCTCTGAGTAGAACCTTTACATTTGTATATGACCGTTTACTGTCTTACCTCCAAATGTATTTGAACTATATAATGGATTATTGCTTTCCTCAGCAATTTTCTTTTCCCTATTCTTGTTGTTGGAAATGTTGCAAAGGTAACATTTCTTTTGATACTTTTCCACTCTTGCTTTTTGGTTACAGTTCTGTAGCATTGAAGGAGTTACTGGCTTATGCTGCCTGAAACCAGGTATTGGTCCTGATATGAGCAGAGAAACTTATTTTGAACTACAAATGACTGAGTCAACCTGTGATAGTATTGACATAGTGAGAGACAATGACAGTATTTTCTGGGCTATATCCCTCATTTATTCCTTTGTGTTTCATTTTTTTATGATACTGTATTTCAGTGCTTAATTTTCTTAACACTTTTATTATAAAAGAAATTAACTTGATATTAGATAGTAGCAGGGGACAGGAAAATGTATGGCAGCATTGCCTTTGATTTTCCTACACAATACTTTATTTTTATTACATTTATACCATTATCCTGAGTGCCCTATATTTCTCATTTTCATATCTAGTTGTTTAACATTTGGTTTTCACGTTGTAACAGCAGTGAGCTTTTGCCTCATTCTCTTACTTGTTGCATCTGCCGGTACATTTGATAGACTCTCAAGAGTGCCGTAATACTAAAATGCTTCTGAAGCAACAAAAGCAACAAATTTGACATAAATAACAGCCTAATAGCCACAATAATTACATTATATCTGTTTCTGGTGTTCATCAAAATGCTTCATAAAAATAGTTTTATGGTTTGGATCACAATTTCTTTTTGCCTTGTTATTCATATGCTCCCATGACTTTATCAACTAGACATATACTAGTGCTTGGAAAGAAAATTTTCTGTTCAATGGAATGACAGAAAAGATGCATAATGTAGCAAAAATAATTTCCAATGTCTTTTCTCCCATCACATCATGTGTAAATCATATGAGCTTCAGTTTATCATAGTGAAACAAAAGCGAGAAAAGCACTGTAGAAATCATAGTCGCTTTCAGAAGGGATCTGTTCAAGACGATATTAAAAAAGCTGGACAGGCAGAGTGGGTTAGGCTGTATGGTTTGGGCATTTTTGTGGCAACTCGAGAGATTATTTGATTATATTTTTTCTTCAAAAGATAAAGTGATATGTGAATTCTGAGGGAAAAAAAATTTTCTTCTGTTCATACTATTTTTATTATTGGGGGGATGAGAGGAAAGGGAAAAGGGAGGTAGCTTTTATCTTGTTACAGAATTACTTTCTGAGAAGAATTATTCAGCCCTAAAAACCTGACTATTCAGTCAGCATTATTGATGCTGATTAATACATTAAGATATGTAGTATCGGACAGATACGATAACTTGATTCTAAAATACCAGAGTTTAAGTCTGCTTATACTTCCAAGGCATATGGGTAATGATCAACTGTAAATGTGTTTATCCTGGGTATTTTTACCATTCCATACTGTGTACTGTTTGGGTTTTTCTTTTACCTTCCTGTGTTATCTGAAACCTCTAGGCTTCTAAAAGTTTATATGTTGTGGTGATGTGAAAGTACTAAACATCTTAGAAGTCATGTTTACATTCCACTGTTTGAAAGCAATTACTCACAAACTTGTATTTCTCATTTTAAAACTTAAATGTGCCCTCTGAGAGAGAACCCTTCAAGATGTTGAGGCAAAATAAATTTGTATGA